ACTTGACGGGACATACACAAGGATGTTACGAGTTGCATTGGACATCAGCTGGAAGAAACACCCAACAGAGAAACGCCTGTATGGATCCCTTCCTCCTATGCCAGTTTTGTTATGAGATAGAAGGCTTCAGGTAGCTGGTTACTCCTGGAGAACTAAGTCAGAACTTGTGAGTGATAACTCCTATGAAACCCATTGCTAGGCAAAAGATCGGTTGGAAGACCTCATCACACCTACATTGACCAACTTGTAAATGTAGGTGGATGTCGTCTGGAGGACCTGTCTATAGCGATGTATGACAGAAATGGTTGGAAGGAACAAGTCAGGAGTATCCGAGAAAAATTCTCGACCTGAGGATGATGATAAGAATGCTCACAAAAAACGTAGTGTCAAAACGACGTTTATTTATTTATTTATTTGTGGTCAGTTCTGAAGAAAATGGATAAATTCACATTTCTTATGTTTAGGCTTTTGTCTAATTCTAACCATCGCTTTTAAAAAAAACAATGAACATTGCCGAAGACTGAATGTTGTTAAAAAAAGAAGTGGAAAAAACGTCTCTTTTGTCACTCCACCTTATTGCATCTGTGTTTATTCATGATTGCCGAAGGATTAATATTAAACCGCAGTTTTAGACTGCAACGTTCTTTTGTTTCTCAGTCCGTCGATTATGCCAAGTAAACAGATACAGAAAATTAATACGTGAATTCAGCCTTGAATCGAATGGCCATCCTAGAGATAGCATTTTCACGAAGCCGTGTTTCAGCTATTTGGACAATATGGTAAATATACCTTTCAAATAATTATTAAGACTGACCATGCGGCTACGTTTCTGATACGATAATATTAATTAAATCGAAGAGATACTGAACGGTGGTAAAACATCCTGAAGTAGAATATATCAAAATTATTAGTAAGTCGGATATTATTATTCGGTGTTCTGAGGTGACAAGAAGAATAGATATTTGTCAGTCGCGGGGGTGTAATGTTCGCCTGCTGGTCGTACATTACATTAAAGGACAAATGTTACTCTGGGCAACCTCTGTTTCGTAACATCTCAGGCATCAGAGATTTACTCTTACAAAACTTCTTTTTTTAAATGAATATTTACAAAATACAAGGCCGGAGAGCCTCTCAAGTACTGGTAAGATTGATAATACTTCTCCTAGTTTTGCAGGGTTTATAGTTGTAGTGAACTCAGAAGCATTTTTAGAGCGTCTCTTTCTCAAAGTAACCATTCTTGGGGAAAGAGATATATATATATATATATATATATATATATATATATATATATATATATGTGTGTGTGTGTGTGTGAGAGAGAGAGTGTGTGTGTGTCTTTTTTGTGTGTGTGTGTCTTTTACAATATTAAAACAAACTGTTATAATTTTTTTTTTCATATGTTCTCTATAAATGTTTTAATAAATATAGTATTTAACTTAAATAAAATTAAATCCCTAAACTATTTGTAAAAAAATTAAATATTTAAATTGATAGCAAGCATCATATTAATTTCTTCGTTTTTTTTCTTTTTGGACATCTTAATTAATATCAAGCATTAAAATCTATTCTTCACATAAATTGCTAAAACCCAATAACAGCCTCTTTCTCTTTACTTCCCTCTCCCTCTTCTTTCTTTTTCCTTTTTCTTTTCTCCCTTCTCCCCTCCCATTTCAATATATCACTTCCGTTAAGTTAACCGTCTAAATAGGTCATGGTCTGGTCACTCCTCCTCCCACAATACTAAGTATGATTGAGAGAAATCTTAAATTAATCCCTCCCTAAACTCTACCGTGTCTATTTAACTACTCCTTTTACACTCTCTATTAAATTACAAAAACTTACACTACCCATCAATTTTAATTTCATTTTTGTTTCATTTTTGGAAGTGCTATCTGATGATCCGGCGTCCTTTAAAAGGGTTCTGGTGAAATAAATTATTATAATGGTACCTTAAAGTCGTCTGTTTTTCTTTATATATATATATATATATGAGCTATTCATATATATATATATATATATATATATATATATATATATATATATATATATATATATATATATATGTGTGTAAACATATTTTCAATCAAGCATGTTGGTCTAAATAATTTAGACGTATTATATTCTTGGTGGCTGTAGAAAATTCATTAAGAAAAACCCCAAAATTGTCTTTCAAATAATTTTTATTCTCTCAAGTATTTTCATATGAGACCATCTTCTGGGATTGCATACCTATATATGTGTCATGTGTTAACACTGTAAATTCAAAATATACTTTTACCTCAATGCAAGGGAGGTAACTTATGGCATTTTTTAAAAGCTTAAAAACAATTTTAAAGATTTTAATGGTTATGGTGAAGAATTAGATGCAACGGAAATGGTAATGTTGAAGAATTAGACCCAATGGCAATAGTAATGGTGAGGAATTAAACCAATGGTCATTTTGATCGTGAGGATCTGTCTATATTTCTGTGATGAGTTATTATGTACATTATTTACATTATTCGGCCTATTGTCCTCATCTTTGTAGCCATATTTACTACAACGTTTCGACAGGTGTACGCTCCGGCCTTCTTTAATATCTGTCTATATTTCTGAGATGAGTTATTATGTATACTATTTACATTATTCGGACTATTGTCCTCATACTTGTCGCCATATTTATTACAACGTTTCGGCCGTTGTACGCTCCAACCTTCTTTAGTATCTGTCTATATTTCGAAACGGTGTAGAAAATATGGCGACAAAGATGAGGACAATAGTCCAAATCTTGTAAATAATGTAATGGTGAGGAATGAAACCAATGTTAATAGTAATGGTGAGGAATTAAACCAATGGTATTTCTAATTGTGAGTAATTAAAACCAGTCATAATGGTAATCTTGCAGAATTAGAGACAATGGGAATGATAATGGTGAGGAAATAGCCCAAATTTCTTATAGATATTTCCTTAGACATTCGGCATTCATTTATAAAATCATTCTCTTGAAAAAAAACTTTCAGAAACATAGATGACTCAAGTACAGAACTCTTATTGTTCTTTCCAGTATTAATCATGGAGGTGGGTGCTTACTAAACATTTCTTTGAAATAGTGGGGAACTTAAATATCTTGTATTTATCTTTACATTCTCTTATAATTAAAAGTGTAATTCAATTTTGATGTTGCTTTTATGGAAAGTCATCAAGTGAGGTTGTTTCTCTTATTTGGTACAGTTTTGTTTGGGTTTCAGTTACACAATTGTATAATTTTTATGAGGGATGGTCCTATGCTAAAACCTACAGTGCCCATAACACAGGTGGATCAGTCAAAAGGAAACTTCTTCTTCTTCTTCTTCTTCTACTTCTCCTCCTCCTCCTTCTCCTTCTTCTTCTTCTACATCTCCTTCTTTCCTTCTTCTTCTCCTCCTCCTTCTTCTTCTTCTTCTTCTTCTCCTTCTCCTCCTCCTCCTTCTTCTTCTTCTTCTTCTCCTTCTCCCCCTCCTTCTTCTCTTTCTTCTTCTTCTACTTCTCCTTCTTTCCTTCTTCTCCTCCTCCTTCTTCTTCTTCTTCTCTTTCTTCTCCTTCTTCTTCTTCTTCTTCTTCTCTCCCCTCCTTCTTCTCTTTCTTCTTCTTCTACTTCTCCTTCTTTCCTTCTTCTTCTCCTCCTTCTTCTTCTTCTTCTTCTCTTTCTTCTCCTTCTTCTTCTTCTTCTTCTCCTCCTCCTTCTTCTCTTTCTTCTTCTTCTACTTCTCCTTCTTTCCTTCTTCTTCTCCTCCTTCTTCTTCTTCTTCTTCTCTTTCTTCTCCTCCTTCTTCTTCTTTTTCTTCTTCTAATACTACTACTTCTCCCCCTCCTCCTTCTTCTTCTACTTCTCCTTCTTTCCTTCTTCTTCTCCTCCTCCTTCTTCTTCTTCTTCTTCTTCTTCTCCTTCTCCCCCTCCTTCTTCTCTTTCTTCTTCTTCTACTTCTCCTTCTTTCCTTCTTCTCCTCCTCCTTCTTCTTCTTCTCTTTCTTCTCCTTCTTCTTCTTCTTCTTCTTCTTCTTCTTCTTCTTCTACTAATACTACTACTTCTTCCCCTCCTCCTTCTTCTCCTCCTTCTTCTTCTACTTCTCCTTCTTTCCTTCTTCTTCTTCTTCTCCTTCTGCTTCTCTTCTTTTTCTAATACTACTACTTCTCCTTCTACTTCTTCTTCTCCTTCTTCTTCTTCTGCTTCTTCTTCTTCTTCTTCTTCTTCTACTAATACTACTACTTCTCCCCCTCCTCCTTCTTCTCCTCCTTCTTCTACTTCTCCTTCTTTCCTTCTTCTTCTTCTCCTTCTGCTTCTTTTCTTCTTCTAATTCTTCTTCTTCTTCTTCTTCTTCTTCTTTTTCTAATACTACTACTTCTTCTTCTTCTGCTTCTTCTCCTTCTTCTTCTTCTGCTTCTTCTTCTTCTTCTGCTTCTTCTTCTTCTTCTGCTTCTTCTATCTTCAATCTGTCTTGTGAGTTTCAAATTTTCCAAGCCCTTTTTCCTTATGATGTACCCAATAAATTTCAATGTCTATTTTTGATGTTAATTTTGTGTCCTTTTCGTTTTCATTTTCCCTGAGATTTCGTCGTTAATCACATGTTCAGGCCATCGTATTTTCAATAGAACCATGTTTCAGTTGCTTCAAGTCACTTCCACATCTTAAATATATATATATATATATATATATATATATATATAGATAGATAGATAGATAGATGAGCGATGTTTTATTAGCATTTATTAACTTTATATTACATTTGTTTTAGATATAGTCGCAAACTATGAGTCTCGCTCGCCAAATTTTTAAGTCTCTTTTTACATTTTGTATTGTTTCTTTGCCAAATTGTCTTTGGCGAGATTGTCTTGCATTAAAATTTAATTCAATTTTGCTTTGGAAATTTAATACCACTATTGTCAATTTTTCATCATCCAATATGAGATGCCGTCTGGTCTCGACTTTTTTGCGTTTGTGCAAGAAAATTTATATAATTCGATGTGAAACCGGATAGCGAAAAATGCTTTACCTTACTAAAGTGTTACATCTTAACATATACATCAGAAAATTATCGTAAAACCTGCGATAGATAAATTGTCGTCTAAAATACGTTAAAATGAAAATAACACTGGCATCTCCTTTTAACATATATTTAATAAACTTACAGTAAAATATCTCAGAATCCTAGAGAGTAAATTTAAATAAATAAAATCGTGACGACTATAGAATCTCCTGGAAATGTTCTAGACTTTTAAGTTGGTGAATGCTGCCATAATCCCTGCCTTAAGTTCATGTTTGGCGTTAAAAGAGTTTTGTCGTTCTTTCGATCAACTGCAGCCAAAATATAATAATCAAGATGGTTGCAGTTTGCGGAGAGAGCTGGCTAGGTGTTAGGGGTGATGTGGTCGCAGAAAATGTCTGGCAGCCATAAATATGTTCTCCTGCTTGTGCGGCATGGTGCAGAGACCTGTTGCAAGACATGGCGTCTTGCAGCAGCCAGCCTCTTAACTTACGTCTGAAGGCACTTGGTGAAGGCCTTTGTGTTAAGTTTGAGGCCGTGTGGGGAGATGAATGGAGGCATAAATCTCCATGATTAGTGATCACTCCAAACTTCTTCGTGAACACCATTAGACTCATCCAACTCTCTAAATCTTCTGCACTCTCCTCAGATTGACACCCAAGCACGCTGAAATGTTCGTATTGGCGCCTCCGGCATGAATGCCAACCAGTCCAGCATGCCGTTTCCATATTTCTGGCGGAGTGAATTGCACCATGGTGCTTTTTACTGCTATAATGTGCACGTCCCAAAATCAAACAAACAAAACGCATGCGCGAAATTAAAAATAGAATTGTCAACACTTTATCCATCGTACTCTGTATATACTCATGTATAAGCCGACTTCATATAGAGTACGAACCCTGAATATTTTTGCATGACTTTTAGCCCTGCCCGACCAAATTATTTGTGTATATTGAATGATTTTTAATCTCTTTAAAAAATGACCTGTGTATAATGCCACCCGTATATTTTTGCATAAGAAAAAACTCACACTCTAATCGAATATATACGCAAAAAATTCACCATGATGTTACTGTTTTCTAATTCTTCCCCACCCAGTAACCCCTTTTGTCTTAGAGTCCTTAATGCCTTGCTTCTGGTGAACTTGATTAAAAAAGAATCGTGTCAATTGAAGTTATATTAAAACTGATATTGAATTGTAATCTATCTATCGCAGTCTGATCATATCTATCTATCTATCTATCTATCTATCTATCTTTCTAATATTCGTTTAATCGCAATGAGATCCGTCTTCGAATATCACTATCTATCTATCTATCTATCTATCTATCTATCTATCTATCTATCTCAGTCTGTTCATATCTATCTATCTCTCTATCTATCTATCTCAGCCTGTTAACTATCTATCTATCTATCTATCTATCTATCTATCTATCTATCTATCAATCTAACGTCCGTTTGCTGGCTATGAGATCCGTCTTCGAATATCATTATCTATCTATCTATCTATCTATCTCAATTTATTCATATCTATCTATCTATCTATCTATCTATCTATCTATTTCAGTCTGTTCATATCTATCTATCTATCTATCTATCTATCTATCTATCTATCTATCTATCTATCTCAGTCTGTTCATGTCTATCTATCTATCTATCTATCTATCTATCTATCTATCTATCTATCTATCTATCTCAGTCTGTTCATGTCTATCTATCTATCTATCTATCTATCTATCTATCTATCTATCTATCTCAGTCTGTTCATATCTATCTATCTATCTATCTATCTATCTATCTAGCGTCCGTTTGCTATGAGTTCCGGGTTCGAATAACACTATGTTCGAGTTGATCATTATCGGCCTTTTGAAGGTACCTGAAAACCATACTCTGGATTTAGCCAAGCCTTGCGAGTGAATCTGGATAGAAAGAACCGTTCGAAAGCCGTTGAAGTTTGTGCTAGCAAGTATTCACATGTTATCGCGTCCGAGAATTTCACCGCGATGGCCTTGTTTGCGCTGGATATCGCACTCTCTACCAGAAATGGTAACTCAGCTTAATTACAGTATAAAGGTGGTCTCTCTGCGTTGGACTGATGTCTCTAATAAGGATTTGCTAGACGTCCTGACAGACAGGTATGTTCGAAAACGAGTTGCCGTGAATATGCATGTACGTATGTATCTTCAACCGACGAAGAAACCTTATAAGGACAGCCCGAAATAATCCATCAATCTTGCAAATATTATTTCTTAAAACGGAGATTGACATACAAATTATCATACCAACTGGCGAAAGAAGATTGGAAAATGCTGGAAAGTGTACGCTCGACTGTTCTCTAATTACGAAAGGATCTAAAAAAAAAATGTCCGTAAAAGTATTGGTATAGAAGGTCCGGACTCTATAGATGACACTCGTGATAAAACATGTGATGTGTGCGGCAACATTTGCCTGAGTAATGAAGGAAAGTTAACTCATATGCGGAGACGTGGTACCAGAGAACAAATCAGTTTACAAAATGGCATTATAAGAAGTCATATCGCATTTGCGGAAAAGTTTCAAGTCAGCTGCTTGGGCTGAAAATAATTGCAGACATTCGCAAAATAGACGTAATGACGAAAAACATCATGTTCCACGTGCTTACCAAATCGGTGGCAATTATTAAAAATATTTGTCCAGTTTAAAGTGCCACATCCGTTCCAAGCTCAATTCGGTCTTACAGTGATATCCCGTGATGGTTATATTCAACAGCGAAGCCACAGTCATCTATCTATCTATCTATCTATCGATCTATCTATCTATCTACGACTGTTCATATCTATTAGTTCACCATTATTATTATTCAGTCATAAAGTGATTCATGTCCATCCCCATATTCTATCTATCTATCTATCTATATATATATATATATATATATATATGAGTCTATCTCTCTCTCTCTCTCTCTCTATATATATATATATATATATATATATATATATACGAGTCTGTTCATATCTATAAGTTCATTATTGTCATTATTATAAATTTATTCACGTCCATCCCCATATTTTGTCTATCTATCTATCTATCTATATATATATATATATATATATATGTGTGTGTGTGTGTGTCTGTATGAGCCTGTTCATATCTATAAGTTCATTATTATTATTATAAATTTATTCATGTCCATCCCCATATTCTATCTATCTATCTGTATATATATATATATATATGAGTATATCTATCTCTCTCCCTCTCTCTCTCTCTCTCTCTCTATATATATATATATATATATATATATATATATATATATATATATATACGAGTCTGTTCATATCTATAAGTTCATTATTGTCATTATTATAAATTTATTCACGTCCATTGTCCCATATTTTATCTATCTATCTATCTATATATATATATATATATATATATATATATGTGTGTGTGCGTGTGTGTGTGTATGAGCCTGTTCATATCTATAAGTTCATTATTATTATTATTATAAATTTATTCATGTCCATCCCCCATATTCTATCTATCTATCTATCTATCTATCTATCTATCAGAAAAGACGCATTTGCGCTGCCACCCGTGGAAGATTAATCAAACGGGGTCATTACTCGAACTACCATGTGTGCCGAAGGGTCAGACCTCCAACTTTCCAACGATGAAACACCTTTTCGAAACGAGAAGGTGCAAGCTTCGTTGTACGGGTGGTGGAAATGGATATCGGCTCGGGATGAAATATCAGACAGCCGAGTTCGAATACCAGTAGAGTTCGTTATATTCACTTACCTATTGGAATGTTATGAATCTACCTTTTCTCCTCCCAGCTATGGGTTAAATAATGAGCTTTACCAGAAATCATTGTTATTGCCAAAGAACTCTCACAATTTTCTAAGCATAAGATCGACGTGGTTCAAAGCCAAAAGTATGGGGCGCCCAGAGATCAACCTCACTATTCAGTCGTAATTGTTCTAGCTTGTTAACCATTACATTACTTCGAGGTGGCCAAAAATCTCGGTAATTTTCTAAGCATAGCTTAGATGTGGCAAAAGACTGAAAGTATGAAGCAGCCAGTGAGGATCGAACTCACTACTCAGTCATCATACATCTCAGATTTAAATAACCTCAAAAAATATAAACCACTATGTACATTATTTGGACTATCGTCCTCATATTTATTGCCATATTTACCACAACGTTTCGACCGTTGTAAGCTCCGGCCTTCTTCAGTTAGTTGGGATGTCGAACTGAACCCTTTATTTCGCTCACTGGGGTAGACTGTTCTAGTACCACGTGCCTTGTTTAATGAAATTTAAATTTGATTTTTCGTTTCATTTCATTTCATTTTTTGGAAGTGCTATCTGATGAACCGGCGACCTTTAAAAGGGCTCTGGTGAAATAAATTATTATAATGGTACCTTAATTATATATATATATATATATATATATATATATATATATATATATATATGTTGCTGGTAACTTTTTTTATTAAAATATATTGCTTGTATTTTTTTTACTATAAAATGTACTGCTTGTATTTTTACTTTAGAAATGTTTTTACTTCCATAGAGTTTTGACTCAAGTTTGGGGTTAACTATTTTCTCATAACTGGGAAGCTAACAGCTGCTCCCACCCGGTGTCAGGGTGGACATAAGACCAACAGAAATTAAGAGGTGATTTCGTGCTCTTCAAAATCTCCCGAACAGAAGCCTTGCTGCCGGTTGTAGTTTATCGTCATATCCCGTAGGCAAAAGACATACTAAGCGTAGTCTACGGACCACTAGAGACAATACAAACGACAGAAAAGCTATGGAAAAAATTCAGACAATATCTTCACAAATCATGAAAATGCTGCATGCTATTTTGTCTCTATATTTAATTTTGGTTTCGGAAATATCCGTACTGCTATAATATTGCACTACATTTCCTTCATTTACTCCAACAACTCTTTGGCCAGCGACTGTCTTATAGATTTCCTGTCACTTACAGACTTGGGAAACATAGTGTATCGCTTAATTTAAAAGTCTTAACAGTTGGCTGACGGACAAAAGTCTAATGAAAAATTCACACTGTGTATTTGAGTTGACGATCGGATTTAATGATGTGCAAGTTTATACTCAGTGCAAGACAAGACATTTAAGTTGGCATCTGTCAAGGTTGAAAATGCGTGTAAGAGCTTTCGCTTCTACTCCGTTTGAAGGTATTTTTTCTCTAGAACTAATTCTTTTATTTTATTCTTCATTAAACCTCACCGGGTGGCTGGGAGGTGTTCTTTTTCCAATGTGGGCATCTTTATTTAAATGCAACTGACAAGGTACAGCGATTAAACTTTTATTTAATTTTTCTTGCGTTCGTATAAGTCTTTTCCTTTCTGGATTGAAAGTGAGTAAGAACTATCCAAATGTTCTATATATCTTAGCACTTTCAGTTGTTCTATTAGCCATTATCAATGATGATTATTTAAATTTTTAACTGAATATGTAAATATTTATATATGTGATTATACTGAGTGCGATGGTTAAATCTTCGCCTAAATTACTCAAAAATGAAAATAGCACTGACATCTCATTTTAACAGATATATTTACCAAAATTATACAAAAATATCTTGATATACTAAAGAGTAGATTTATTCAATAAAATCCCCATTGGCTTCAACCAGGGTTTCCAAACGACTTTGGAATCTCCTGAAACTTTTCTGGACAGTCTCCTTGTTCAAGTTGATAAATACTACAATAATCCTTGTTTTCGGGTCGTCCTTGGTGTTTCAAGGAATTTTGTTGGTCTTTCGCTCAACTGCGACCCAGACATAATAATTAATGGTGTTGTAGTGTGGGGAGTTAGGTGACCAGACGTTGAGGGGTGATGTGATCGCAGAAATTGTCTGACAGCTATGACTGGGTTCTTCTGCTTATGTAGCATGGGGCAGATTCCTGCTCCCAGAGATAGGGTTTTCCATAAGAGACACTCTTGATACAGGGCAACACTACCTCCCCAAGGTACTTGATGTAGGCCTCCATGTTGAGTCTAAGACCGTGTGGAAAGATAAATGGCGGAATATAATCGCCATCACTAGTCATCACTCCAAACACTGTCATCTTGACTGGGTATGTCATCCAACTCTTTCTGAATCCGCTGCAGTGTCCTCAGATTGACATCCAACTATCTGAAATGTTCGTATTGGAGATTCCGGCGCAAATGCCAACCAGAACCGCATGCTGTTTCCAAATCTCTGGCGGAGTGAATTGCGTCAGGCTTGTCGTCTTCTCACAGACCCTGACTGATTTACCCTTGTATACTCGACAAAATCAGAAACAAACATCGTCCATGCAGCACATGAAAAATATAAAATAGCGACGATTTACGCATCGCACTCTGTATAGTGACGGTGATTTTTTTTTATTATTATTTTCCCAAAACGGTTAGCAATTTGGAGCTGTATTCATTGTTGGTATTATTGAGCGTTGGTTGATGATATATCGGTCGTATTTTATGTAAGTATATTTCTGACAGAGTTTGGTAGGATACCGTGTGTGTTTTAATGGGTCCTGATTGAGCTATGGTCATATCTCTATAGATATACATGTATAAAAACTAACATACTTAGTTAAAACAATCCTTGATATTGATTAACAGAATAACTGGAACCGTTTGAATATACTGAACATTCCGAAAATTTTGGCACACTCTTTGGTTCAGAAAAAAAAATTATACAAAAATGAATAAAAAATGAAATCACATTACTTTTTCAGTACATAAATGACGCATAACATAAAATTATATTTTATCATATGCAACTATATATATATATATATATATATATATATATATATATATATATATATATATATAAGAAATTTTATGTTTATACATTCTTTTTATAGATACAAATATTTAAGCTTTGTTTATAATAAACAGTATTAAACAACATTGACCAGCCTGAATGTCCGAGAAATCTTCATCGAAAATAATCGTCACCCGACAGGAATCGAACCTGTATCCTATACGGAACCGTCATTTAGCCTGACGTGCCTTAACCGATTGAGCCACAGAGGATCGTTTGGTTACCGCTTTTAAACCTAACCGAACCTGCTAACCGAACGCTCCTCTGTGGCTCAATTGGTTAAGGCACGTCAGGTTTGGTTATCAAGGTCGATTTTACTGCTTTTACACCTAACCGAACCTGCTAAACGAACGATCCTCTGTGGCTCCATGTATAAATATAAAAATGTCTTAAAAAATAATTGTCAGACTTTGTCCATTTCATAATGTGTGACATCATTTGTTTACATGTGGATACGCTATGAATGTACGTGATAGAATCATGCAAGACTGTAGTTTAGAGACAACAAAATCGACTTTGCTAACCGAACGGTCCTCTGTGGCCAAAACGGTTAAGGCACGTCAGGCTATATGACCGTACTGTATAGGATACAGGTTCGATTCCTGTCGGAGGTCGAATATTTTCTATGGAAATTCCTCGCACATTCAAGCCGGTAAATGTTGTCTAATGCTGTATATTATAAACAGAGCATTTATTTAAATATTTTATTCGATAAAAAGAATGTATAAACATGAAAATGTCATAAAAAATAATTGTTAAACGTATCCATTTCAAAAAATGCATTATCTATCGTTATCTTCTGTTTTCTTAATTCCTCTTGTTTTATTGTTCTCTCTCCTTAATATGTATTTTTCTTATATTCTTTAACACGCAGTAACCACCTTGCGTTTTAGTGGCATTAATGCCTTTCGTTGTTATTAATACAACCCTTGCCTTTCGATAACACATACGCCCACATAGGAAAATCTCGAATGACTTATTTCACTTTTTAAATATGATATCAGCGTCCTGTTTCATACTTACGTCATTCAATTGTGCATGTTTGCCACCATAATTCTTTTCTTTCTCTTTTGATTAGAGGAAAGATCGAACTCACGCAAAATGGCAGCCCCATTTATCTGCACGTTTCTAAATGTAAACCGTTTACATAAAGGCGATTCTACCATCAATAGGGAAATGAACAATAAAACACCCTGATAAGAATAGCGAATTCTTTGCTTGCGTCAAAATTAGTTATGTGGATATAAAAAAAGTAGTGGCACAATTGTTAGTGTTGCTTAGCAACATTCATGATATAAATGGTCTCCGAGAATAATCTGTAGTTAAAATGGGCGATATGTATTTTTTAAAACGGGATATTATCTGAATATATAAATCCGAATACGCATATTTCAGGAAAATAGATCTTGCTCGCTAGAATTTCTTACTATATTGGATTTTTTTCATATGCACCCAATACTGTATTAAAGAATTGATTTATTCATGTAATCTTCTGTTCGAACAAGTGTGCTTGGACATGGCTTGTCCGAAAGTCCTGAATATAAATCATTTTATCCGTGAGGTTAAGGCGATTTCATTGCAGGTATCTTTCAGCCTTACATGGTTGCGTGACTTCGTTTCTTTCTTTATTGAAAGACACATTGTAACGAGGATTAATCAAAAGGTAGTGTCTCTTCTTATTTACCTGCAAATAATTTAATAAAACAAAAGAAATCTTGCCAAAATGAAAGCAAAAACCTCAAACTTTCATA